CTGATCTTCACTCCATGTTTCTGGTTCTGAGCTGGAAAAGGAAAGAGCAAAAAGGGATAACAATTGGATTCAAATATTATAGCATTTGTGCCTTATTTAAAATAAAATCTTAGTATATAGAGTTCTCTGTGGGGTGCGGCTTTCTTTTCTCCAGATCGCTTCTGCCATTTGTCAATTGCCATGTTTTAATTTGTTTCCCCGTTGGGTTTACAGACTGCTTCTTCTTTTCATCTCTCCCAGGCTGTTTTATGTGGTCAGCTGTCTTTATAGGATGCTGGGCATTTTGTTAAGGAAGTGGTTACAGCAAACCTGGTTTTCCCAAGCTCAGCTTGGAGACCTAAGGCAGAGTACCCAGGGTTCTAATGATAGGGACTGGCAAGTTGCACTATTCCGGGGGTGGGGGTGGGGGTTGTTCACACGTAGCATGTGTGTGGTGTTTGCAGTGAACAGTACTGGACCTTGTCTGATAATATTCATAGGCCACTTGGGCTCTGGGGGAAACACAATTGAACTGGGAGTCCAGAAACTCGGTTCCCAACTCTTCTAGGTCTTTGATCTTCATTCTCGATCATTCTGCGCTTTCACCTTCCCTGGACTATCTTCCACCTACAAAATGGGATAGTAATTAAAAAAAAAAATTTCACGTAAACGCTTCCTTAAGGATCTCTGGTGGTATCGTTCAGGTAGGGAATTGCACAGCTACCCAAGGACCAACATTTCTGGTGGTTTGAATTCACTAGATGTTGTGTGGTGGAAAGATGAGCAGCCTTCTCCTGTGCAATCTATAGCCTCAGAAACTTGCTAGAGGGGCAACTGAACTTTAGGCCAGTTCAGCATTTACAGTAATGAGAGAGAGAGAGTGCTAGAGAGTGAGAGAATGTTTCTTATTCCTGGGATAAATTCCTTTGCAGGACTTTAAAAAGCTGATTATGGCATTATGGTACCTTTCAAATGCCTGATAAATACTATGTATTTGTTTGCTCCAGTCTTCCTTTAAGGAGGAAGACTCTTTGCATGACATACTTAATGTTCTCGGCTGATAACTGCAAAGTTGGAGCCTCCAGACCATCCAGAGGTGCCTTGGACAAGAGGCCTGACAATCTACTCCCTCAGTGTGGCCGCTGAAATCCCCATGAGGCACAATTCTCCTAACACAGATGGGGTCAGAACAAGTTGGAAATGAATTGATGACAACTGGTTTTGTATGTGGCAAGCTCAAGTTTGATTTTTGTCTTAACTAATCATTCTAAGTTAAGCTAGTACAGGGTGCGGTGGCTAGTTTGAGGATAGACACACTGGATTGTTACCAAACCTCTGACCTTTAAGGAGTCCTGTCCCAACTGGAACCAGAACCCCAAGGCTATCCAACTTCAGGGGAAGTCCTCCCCTTGCTATTTTCTGCTCATGTCCAGTGACCAATACAGCCTGCTGCACAGCACTGACAGAAGTGTCTCCTTCCCTTGCTAGGAAGCACTGGACTCAGCCCCTGTGCCTTGCTGGACAGGCCTGGCTCAGTGGATTCTGAGGGGATTTTTCAGAAGACATTGGGGTATATTAGAGAGCAAATGGGGAGGTAGAGAGTACAGGCAGCAGTCAGCAGGGAGTTAGAAAATCAGGATTTTTCTATTATAGAGTGCCCAATCTAGAAGGCTTTAGGAGGATCATGGCTTACTTCTATTTCTTGAGAAACAGAGGGCCTGGCTACTCAGGGCAGCCATGGAAGGAAGTAGTAGTGAGAAGAGTAGGGGGTAGGGACTAGATACTATTCCTCTCTAGTACGTGCCAGCCACTGTGCACCCTTTATCTCCTTATCCCTGCTGTACAGACAAGGAAACTGAAGCCCACAGAGATTGAGCAACTTGTCCAAGGTTCCTCATTTGGCATATGTGGACTTGAGCCCTAGGATCCTTTTTTACCGCCCAACCCAACCCAGTCCCTGCTTGGTGAATTGTTCCTTCCCTTCCCAGAAGAACAAACAGCAATGATTCAAAAGGGGACGGATAGATCGCTGAGAATGGCAAAGGATGGGACATTGCTTTATTCTGTTGTGCATGAGTCTCTGAGTCAGAAGCGATCCAACTGCAGCTAACAAGAGATGTCACTACTGAGGGAGGGAATTGTAGTTATGTGCCAAAGGCAAAGAGGGGAGTCCTTTATTGCCTTCTCAGCTGGTTTTTCTATCACCATAGCCTGCATCTACAATAGCCACCAGGCTCAAGGGCCACGTCATGGAACAAATCCACTAATGACCACTGAGCCAAACCAAACCAAGGCCAGCTGCTGTGGTGCTGATTCCAACTCATAAAGACCCCATTCGTTTATTAGAGTAGCACTAGATTCTGCACAGGAAAACACATAACTCTTGAAAGCAAATTGCCAGGCCTTTTTTTTTTTTGAGGGCCCTTCATGTGGGTTACGACCACTTTTTAGTTGTTGTTGTTATGTGCCATCGAGTCGCTTGCGACTTATAGCGACTCTATGTACAGGAGCCCTAAATTACACCATTCTATCCAGTGCCAACCTCACCATCTCAAACGCACTCATTCGCACCACTCCACTCACAGAATCGATCCGTCTCGAGGGTCTTCCTCTCCTTCGCCACCCCTCCACTCTGCCAAACATTATGTCCTTCTCCAAGGACCAGTCCCTCCTTGCAACATGCCCAAAGTATGTCAGACAAAGCTTCAGGATCCTTGAATCCAAGGAGCATTCCGGCTTCATCTTCTCCAGGACAAAATACTGTCATCTGACTCATAGCTGACTCTAACAGGCTTTCTGAGGCCATAAATCCCATAGGAGGAGATTGTTCATATTTTTCAAAAAGCCACTGTTGGATTCGAATTGCCAGAGTGGAGCTGCCTTTGGGTTACGGAGTGCTCGGTTAGTAGCTGTTGTTCAGAGCCATAGAGCGGGAACTAACCCCTAGCTGACCCTGTGGTGGGTTTTCAGAGGCAGTAAACCACACAGGATACTGCCCATCTCTCTTGTGAGGAGCCGCTGGTGAATCCAACACATCTCCTTACACTAAGCCCTCAGTGCTCCCGAGTTAGTAGCTGAGCATCAGCCTTGCACCACCCAAACACTTTAATGACTGCAGTAGAAAGAAAAAGTGATTTCCCAGTCTGTGATGAGTGATATGATTGATGGCCTTAGCTAATAGGCAGAGGCACTCCATAAAATATCTTCATTACTAACCAGCAATCCAAATGACTCTTGAGGCTAGAGTGAATGGGATTGGTCCAAAATGTGACCTCACTTTCATTTAATTTCATGCCAGGACCAATACACACCCAGGCGCAGACCCTGTCTAACGCGTGAGATCCTCAGACACAAAGGCGCTCTAATTACCATGGGCAAAGCCTGGCTGACAGGGATTTCAGGTGTTTTCATGTTAGGGAGATCAGAGAATTGTGCTCTGTACTGCTTTCCTGCTGACAGCAAGGATAAAACCAAACAAAAAACCCAACACATTTATTCAAAACAGACTTAAGATAAAATCCTATGATCAGGACAGCCACAGTTTCAGACACTCCGGTGCGAAGTGTAGTTATGTCAATAGCCACATCTGGATGATGGACAAACTATTGAATCTTACAAAATTAGAACATGAAGGGGTTTGCTCCCTCAGAGCAAGCAGCATGCTCCAAGCCCCTCAGCACGGTTCACAAAGGCCAAGCCTGCAGCTTCACCGTTTGGAGGGTCTCCTTTTCTACCCGGTTTCCCCTCACTTACAAAAGAGAGCGGGCATGGCTGGGGGAGGGGTAGGAGGAGAAAATCAACTCCATCTACCCAGGGAATGGCAGCTGTTATTGCAAATGGTCCCGGAGAGCCCATTATAAGCTGCTGTGTGTTAGGCTGTGTCCCTGGAGTGGCTGTCACGTGGCCTCTCCCAAGTCCCCAGCCCGGGCCCCTAGGAACGCCAGCGACATTCGCTTCAGTAGGACAGCAGAGGCGCCGAGGGGCAGAAGGACGCGGGTGTGGGGGGGCATGCTTCAGGGCAAGTGTCCGGTGCAGCCGGGAGGGTGGCCAGGGGCGACCGCCCGCCCCGTGGGAAGCAGCGGCGCCTGGCTCGGCCCCGCCTCACCACACCCGCGGTGGTAGTGGTGCTCAGTGTCCTCAGCAGACTTCAGCAATTGCAAAACACCGTGATCTTCCAGGAGTACAGGCACAATCCCGCAGCTCCTCTGCCAGCCTGGCGCCCCTCAAAACCTTCGGAGCGCCCCAGAAACCGACCTTAAACTCCAGGCTGTTACCATGCTCTTATGAGGACTACTGCGCGCCTCACCCTACCTGGCTGTCACTCCACATCTCCTGTGCCCCTGGCACCAGTACTTTCCTACCCTAGACACACAGCCTTCCACCAAGGATGTGCGGAGCTAAGAAGGTGCAAGGAAAAAAAGGCTACTTCTATTCAATCCCTAAAGGTTCGTTTCACATTACATGCGTTTTGTATTAAGAACGAGCACCTCTAAAGACATAAGCCTCCCCCTCCCCCCAATACAAATGTTCAAGTCTGGCAGTTTGGGGTACTCCTATTTCTTCCCCCAAATGCATCAGGAACCAGCCCTGAAAAAGTCAATCAAGTAACTGGGATATCTTCCAGCCAGAGCCCAGTGAGACCGGCTGGAGGGTGTTGAGGCCCTGTCTTGGCCAGCATCCTTCTCCAGCTCTGAAGTCTTGAGAAGGATGGACTGGGGCCACTTGACTAGAGGGTCCTTGAGTCTCCAGGAGGGCAGCACGCTTTGCCACCAGTACAGGTTTGTTTTACCAGGACTGTAATCTTGGGGTGCGAACTGTAACCTGCGTTAAATAGGGCCTGCATTTCAAAGAGGTGTTCTCCCTCAGCTTCCCGAGGAAACTGGGCGAGATTTTGAGTCTGCCTCTTCATTAGCTTATTTTTCCAGCTTATAAAAGCGCGAGTTCACCAGCTTTGGGCAGAACTGCAGCTTCCAGGGGACCTTAAGCCCTCAGAGGCTGGCGCTGTGGGCACCCGAGGAGTGTTAGCTGCCAGGGACAAGAAGGTCCGCAGCCCTGAGCGGTGCGCTCCTCCTGGACGTGCCAGGGTCACTAAAAGCTGCTCGAGGGTTGCGGGGCGAAAGGGGCTCATGCGCTGGGGCCGTCGCCACGGGTCCCAGGGGCGGGCGTTGGGGAAGCTTTGCTTGGAGCTGCAGCCGTCTCGAGTGAAGCCTCCGCACCGCCTCCTTGATGAGGTTCCCGGAGAGCACTAGCTGCTGCAGGAGCCGGTGCGGGTCGTCGTCACTGGTGCGGGCTTCCGATTGGGGCCCGCGTCTCTGTTGCAGGCGGCGGGAGGAGGCAGCACCACGGAGCCAACCTCGCCGGCAGGGGCCAGACAGCGGCTGCGGGGCGCCGGGCTTGTCGGATCCCTGAGGCCCATCAAAGCCGGCCTGGGGGGATAGCAGCTGCAGCGCGCCGGTGCCGGCGGTGAGCTCCGCCACGCAGTAGGGCGCAGCCCGGCCCCGCACGCGGCCGCGGTCCCCGAGGGTGCAGCGCAGGGCTCCCGGACCGGCGGCTTCGGTCGACGAGGGCGCAGGCGACAGAAACAGAGGCAGGGCCGGGGACCGGGCCTTGTCCGCCGGCACCGCGGGCAGGGGTCGAGGGGGCTGCAGCGGCGGCCCGGGCGGTGCGCACGGGGAGGCCGGTCTGTCCTGGGACGCGTCCAGCTGCAGCGCCTCGCCGATCTGGGCCACCAACCGGTCCACTTCGCCCGAGCCGCCCAGCGTCACCGACTGCTCCAGCAGGAGGACGCTGCTCTCCTCTTCTTCCTCCCCCTCCGCTTCCTCGCTGGCTTCCTCTTCCTCCTCCCTCCGGCACGGCATGGCCCTCTGCCCGGGCACCCGGAGTTCTGCTGGCTCCGCTGGCCACTCGGCTTCTCTCCAGGCTCGGTGGGCCGCGGCAGAGCCGGGCGCGGTGCTAAGGCCGGAGCCGGGGGGCCAGGGCGGACGCGGAAGCCGGAGCCCGCCTGGCGCTAGCCGCGCGCCAGCAGCCGCGGGAGCCGGAATCCTACCGGCTCGCCTTGATTTGTAAACAATGGGTGACGTAGTGTCGGACCCTACCACTGCACCCGGGATAGGGGTGGCCAGTCATTGGGGGACAGGACGCCTGCAGGACTGCGGTTCAGGATGAAGCCCTGATGCCTCTGAGCTCTGGAGGGCTGAGTGCTGATTGCGCCAGCGCACTGGGGAGCCGGTCTTCTCTTACTCGGCTGGCAGTGATGGGCATTTCCCGAAGATAGACACCGACGTGAAACCCGTTGGTTTCTTCCACACACGAGCACATACACTTACACACACCTACACACACCCCTCCTCTGGACGCAACAGTTCTTCTGGTGGCTTTGCATTTTCGAGGTCTTAGATGCTGGCACCTGGGGAGTGAGGAGAGAGGTGCGTGACTGGAGGGGGAAACTGGCCAAGGACCTGGCTGGAGGTTTACCGAACCGAAACTAACAGATGAAAGGCGCTGGTGAGTGTGGCAGATTTGAAAATGGCAAAGAAAGACCACACATTTATATAATGCTCGATCAAGAACCTAGACCAGGGCCGGCTTCATCAGAGACCTAGGAGGTTGGCGGGCCTGGGAGGGGGCTGTGAGCTAGAATGCTCTTTTAAGACAGATTCATCTGACTAGTACTGGAAGATTAACTTTCAGGGCGTCGCAGGAGAGGAGAATGGAGAGTTGTTTGGATGGAAATGGAAATGTGGATAAGCTTAACTCTTTAACTATTATGATTGACTAGATAGTTAACCTAGACTTCATTTTTAACCAGAAGGGTAGAAAATGATCCTTTAGTTTCATGTTACTTGGGGGGCTTTGAACCACTATTCAGAATTCCAAGTCCTTCGTGCTTCACTTTCAAACACTGCACTTGTAGGTAAACTTTTAGTCCACCTACCTTTAAAAGCCAACTAGGCACAATTGTTATCAAGCCATAAAAATACAAAACACTACCTTGAACTCGATTCTGGCTCTTAGTAATCCTTAGGACAAAATAAAATTTCCTCATAGGGTTTCTAAGTCTGGGAACCACAAGTGGACTATCAAGTCTTTCCTCTTCAAGTGGCTGGTGGTTTGAACTGCTGACCGATGCAGCCGCAGCACTGCGAGGGTTCTTCCTTGGATTGTATCTGAGTGGTGGAAATATTCTAAAAATGGATGACACTCTTGGTTGCACAACTCAGTAAATTCACTAAAAATAATCTAATGTAATCATCAAATGAGTGAAATTTATTCTATATAAGTTGTTAGGTGCTATCGAGTCAAGTACGATTCATAGCAACCCTATGAACAACAGACCTGAACCCTGCCCTATCTTGTGTCATCCTTATCATCTCAGATAGATACATTTCAGTCCATTGCTGCAGTCACCATATCAATCCACTTTATTGTGGGTTTTTCTCCCTTTTACCAACCCTCCAGCTTTCCAAGCATGATATCCCTTCCCAGGAAATAGACTCTCCAAGCAACTTGTTCAAAGATGAAGCTCCTTGCTTCCAGGGAGCACTCTAGTAACACCTTTTCTAGGACATACCTGCTTGTACTTGGCAGTTCATGAGATACTCAGTACTCTTATCTGACACCCCAGTTCAATTCTTCTTCTGTCATCCATATTTGTTGTCCAGCAGCTCTCAGAGGCATAGCTAGTAATTGAGAAGACCATGGCCTAAATCAGGTGCACAGTAGTCTTCAAACTGACATGATTGCTCTTCAGTATTTTGGAGAGGTTCTTAACAGGAGACTTGCCCAAAACAATATATCTCTTGATTTCCTGACTCTTGGCACCAAGGATGTTGATTGTGGATCCAAGCAAGATGAAGTCATTGATAAGTTTCAATCCTTTCTCCATCTATCATGTTGTTGCATATTGGCCTGGTGATAAGGACCTTTTCTTTCTTGATCTAATCTATACTGAAGGCTGTTTCTTGAGGTTGAGATCTAATCCATACTGAAGGATGTAGTCTTCGATCCTCTGTAGCAAGCATTTTGGACCCTCCTCACTTTGCCAAGCAAGGTTGTGTCATCTACATTACGCAGGTTGTTGATGAGTCTTCCTCTGATCCTGATGCCACATTCTTCATAGAATCTGGCTTCATGAATTATTTGCTTAGCATATAGATTGAATAGGTTTGGAGAAAGGATACAACTCTGACATATACCCTTCTTTTTTTTTTAATTTTTATTGGGAAAAAACAAATTGGGGGTACAAGGAGGTGAGGGTTGGGGCAGAAGGGTGAGGATGGGCAGGGATGCAGTTGCAGAGCTGCAGAGACATATACCCTTCTTGATTTTAGACTGTGCAGTGTTCCCTTGCTCCTGTGTGGACAACAGCTTTTGATTTAGGTATAGATTTTGCATGAACACAATTAAGTGTTCTGCCATTCTTCCTAATGTTAGCCACAGTTTGTTGTGTTCCACACAGTCAAAGGCCTTTGCATAGTCAATAAAACACAGACATTCTTCTGTTATTTTCTTATTTCAGCCAGGATCCATCTGGCATGTACAGTGATACTCTTGGTGCCACAGTGTCTTCTAAGCTCGGCTTGAACTCCTGGCAGTTCCCTGTCACTTCCAGCAGTTTTGGGGTTTTTTTTGTTTTGGTTTTTTACCCCCATGTGATATTAATGGAATTTTTCTTTTATCATTTACCACATTGTGTTAGATATAAATGATATATCTGTAAAATTGTTTAAAGAGATCTCTGGTTATAATAATATATTGAGATGCTAACTGAAGGGTCAGCAGTTTGAAGCCAGGAATAGTCTCTGGGAAAAGAAAGAGCCTGGGAGCCTCTTATTTAAAGCAGCTAGTCAGCAGAAGATCAGCCATTGTGATTAACAGTTCATGAGGCTTTGGGAAAACTTATTTAGAGTAGTTAAGACAGGTAAATTTGGCCTTTTTGATTAACAGTGTGTTGGATTTGGGGAACCTCTAATTTAAAGCAATTTGGAAACTGAAGATGGGCCATGGTGTTTTGAATTCACTAGTGATTTTGAATGGGCATTTTCCTCCCGTACAATTTCATCTCTAAAAACTTGCTGGTGGGTCAGTTCTGAGTCAGTTCTGACTCCATGGTAGTGTGTTTTAGTTTTTCTTCTCTTTATGAGCTATTTATAGTTAGTACTGTATATACTATTTATAGTTAGTTATTTATATACTGTTTTTAGTTCCTAACTAACTTTGAGCCATTTGCCTTTTCTGGAATCAGTACAGTCTCTCTATATGCATATGGAGTAACTTCTCAGAATAAACCTTTTGTTTAAATTTTTTAAAAACTGAAAATTGGAAACCATTCAAGCCACTCTAAAAGACAGAGTAGAATTGCTGTACAGACTTTCTAAGTCTATAAATCTTCACTGAAGCAGACTTCCTCTTATTTCTTCCTCAGAGCTGTTGGTGGGTTTGAACTACCAACCTTTCATTGCAGCTGAGTGCTTAACTATATACCATCTGGCTTTCTTAAGAATCCAGATAACAATTAAAGAACAGACTCTTCTGGGACTAAGTGACCAAGTGCTAAGACTGAAACCAATTTTTGTCCTTACCTGGCTTCATTTAAAAGTTAAAAATCTCTTGTATAGTCATCATGGTTGATATGCCCCTGGAGGGGAGAGGCGGGAGGCTCCTTGGTTGAGGACCTCTCACAATTGGATAGTATGGAGGAGCTGAGTGAAATCCTCAAAACTGTACTTAAGTGTTATTACTTCAGAGGGGATGGTTGCTGAACATACTTTTCAAGTAAGCAGATACTCATCGCTTTGGACAACCATGTCTTTCCCATTTCCTACTGCCCTCTCTTCCAGCCGGTTCTATAGCAAATGACCCTGAAACCTCTTCTGTTTTCACATATTTGGAGAAAGTTTTCCTGATTCTATTCAGTCATTCAAGTGAAAAATGCCCCAACTTTCATTTAATTTTCTCACAGTTTGAACTCAGTCATTGCTGTCATCACATCCAGTTCTTATTTCTTGAGTGGTAGAACATTCTGGATTGTCTGACCTGACAGCTTTGTTGAGGACTGCCCTTCCTGGGTGTCATTGTCATGGCAGTGTCTATGTCTGTAGAAACAGAATGACCAGGGGTCCTGAGTTAGTTTGAGTGACCTACAGGGACAATACAGAAATAAAACTCTCATAACTGCACACCTAGATTTAACTATTCGTAACAGTTGGCAAATTTTCTTCAGGTCTTCTTTTATAAACATTCCCCAGATTATGTGTTCTCTATGTATAATTTTGCATACTGTAATACATTTTTTTGTCAAGGTATAATTTACATATAATAAAATGTAGATCTTACGGGCTCAATTAAATGAGTCTTACTAATGGTATATATCTTTGTGCACTATGCTATCGTTCATCTTACCGATGGTATATACCATTGTACTTGCCAACCAAAACAAGACAGCTTTTCCATCACCCCAGAAATTTCCCTTAACCCTTTAATCATAACAGTCTTTGTGCCCGCTACTAATTCACATTTTCCTCCCCACCATAGATGCTAGTTCTAGAACTTCTAAATAATATACTGTTTTTAACAGCCTGATGATATACTTCCATCACAGTCAAAACTTAATAAGCAGTTCTGCTTTGTAACATACTGATTATTATGAGTTAGGATTGACTTAGTGGTAAAGAATTTAATATCTATTAATAGTAAAATCCCTAGAGCCAAAAGAAGACATTAAGTCTATTCCAACTGAATACCATCTCAAGAACAGATTTGAAAAACAGCAGTGGGATGCCATCTCCCCCCAGGAGCAGTAGCAAAGTGTAACAGAATACCAAGCAATAAATGTTGGAGAGAATGTGGAACTCTTATG